TAAAGCTGGAACAATACTTTAAACAACAATTATAACTCGCAGAAGAGATCACTTAACAAAGAAATAGGGTAGAGAAACATAATATCAGAGAAACACCACAGAGAAACAACACAATGGCAATTTCGAGCAGGCAAATTTGGCACTGACACGCAAATAGCATCCATTTGGGCTATGTATTTCAGTTTTTGGTCTTTAACCAGACGTGGAAAACAAAAATGTATGTTTGATGTAAACTTTTCAATAAGGAGGAGGAGGGGTCTACAAAAGGAAACAATGCTGTCATCGGGAATCTCTCGTCTTTTGTATTTCACTTATTTAAGAACAGCTAAACTCTGCTCGGTGCATTCGAAATTTCATGTATAGGCCCCAACTGACCAGGGTTGCATTGGATACAAATCCATGTCTTCCACTTTGGTACTGTTCCGTATGTATGTAGTCAGTCCTAACTAGCGAATAAGAATTGTTGACTAGGATTTATCTTTGGCCGAAACTAAGGCTTCTACAAAGCGCCCACTCTTCGCCGGCACAAGTTAGACTTCATAAAAAGACTTGAAGGTATTTCCACCTGGGACTTAGTCAAGTTAGCGTCGCGCACTTTTTTTGAAGAATTGGTAGTCTCGCTGCTCGTCAATATTTGTATATATGAGCACAGTCCATATTGCTTGCAGAGTTGTGTCTTTGTTGCCAACGAAAGTTAAACGATCGAGAGTCGCAATTCTGCTTCCAATGACAAAGATTTGTCAAGGAAGCCACAACAAATACTTGGGCTCGGTAACGGAAACTGCTGTTGCTACTCCGGGAAAATCCTCTCCCAGTAATCGGTGACAATTAGCAGCTACATAATTTGATAGTGGGATTTGAACACGTCTAAATGTGTTGCCTTTATAGGAGTGGTTCAACCTGCTTACTTTTCAAACCGACAGCCGCTGCCATGTGCGGAAATCTGCTTCGTATAAGAAGTTTACTTCTCTTTGTCGATGTGAGACTGCCTCAAGGTTTTGAACTCATCTAGAAGATCCACAAAGTCTGATGTTATAATTTTCAAATGGTGGCTTTCAGTGTTTTTTACGGTGGCGAGGGCAAGAACATTCGCCGGCAGATCTTGCAGTTTATGAGCCATGAGCCACTCTGATTCATGCTCACCGAATTTTGATTTTCCTTTGTTGTGCAGATCCAAACTGTCGGTTAGTTTTTCGTCTACCAGTTCGAGGCACTTTAGCCTGAATTTTTTGTCACCTTTAATTATCCTTAAGTGAAATTTCTGATACAAGTTGACAATTTTCTTGTCTGTCACATCATGTCATTTGAATCACGCCATTCGAATTTCTCCCCTTAAAACTCAGAATTGAATTTTTTTTACATCATCTTAGCATTTTGATGGTTTTGTTTTTAAATTTTTTAAATAACGGAGGTGTCACTGCTGAATGAGGGAGATTGTTTCCGCTTCTTGTTAGCTAGAGAAGGAAACTTTGGGTCATACTCGTCGTCACTCATAGATATTCGTCTGTTCTCTGTCGTCAGCGTTGTAAAATAGGTAATTCTACCTAAACTTATATAGCCGGAAAACGCATGATTATATTTAAATTTCAAATCCGATTACTATTATAATAGGGGACTATACACGCAATAGGGAGTTTTAGTCAGTTTTTCGGGGCCATCAATATGTCGATGAATTCGGAGGCCAGGTCAACGAGTGACCCGACCTCGCCGATGTCGGCCGCCAACTTTTGTTGTCCCGGGCCGAGTTTTCGTGCCCACTTCTTAAGCTGGTTCATCAGCTCTCTCGCCACGGGGCTTCCTGGATTCAGTGACATGTAGTCTTCTTTTCCCTCGTGGATGTAAGTTATCCATAGGGGAAAGACGTCGGCGTCCCCCCGAACGTCCCCCAAGTAAGCGGCCGCGCGGATAGTTAGGACGCGCAGAGGAAATTCGTTCCTCTCGGGATGTTTGAACCAGAAGAATGGGTTGGATCGCGGCCAGACCCCCTCGAAGTTGACGATACGGCATGTTGACCAAATATGACGATACGGCATGTTGACGATACGGCATGTTGACCAAATATGACGATACGGCATGTTGATGTTGATCGGGGTTCTAAATAGGACAAGTACGGTTGTTTCTAAGTTAAGTGAAAAGATGGGCTAAAATACAGGTTGAAAAATATTCAAAACGTTTTATTGATAGTTTGTATCGGAAGTTTACTTCCGTTTTGAGTTAGCTGATTTCAGCGATGATTCAAAGATTAGAATGATTCGCACAGCTCAATTTCGAACGTGCCATAAGCTGGTAAATATTCGTAGTAAATATTTGCAAGAGTTGAACGAATCGAAGCATGTGCATAATGGATACACAAATTGGTCGAAATTAAATAACAGGATGAAAATGAGGTGGATATAGGTAATAATATGAATGGTGAATTCTAATGTGAATTTTGGGTAAAATTACGACATTTTCCAGTAATGAAATTCCGACGCATCCCAGTAATGATGGCTACATGTCCCTCCCCCTTATGGACCCCCTCAAGTTGTAGCCAGTATTGAACGTAGATAGCTTCCTCCCCGTTTTGGCCGTGTTTATTCCCCGCGCAGTAATTCCATTTAGGGGGACTTAGGTCGGTCCGATACTCGTGTATATGTACCCCAAGCATTTCGGCGAGCAGGTGCATGTCGGAATCGACGACCCCCCGGGATAGTAACGTTTTGCCGGGATCGTGATAAGGGTAATAGAAGGAGTTTAACCACTTTCGTTCGCGCGATTGCCGATCCTCTAAGGCCCGTTGCAGGCGGTACGACTTTACCTTTCTCCCGGTGATGAGGTAATGTACGCAATCCAGTAAACAGGAAGAAAGCGTGCAGGCACCTTCAAGTGTAATTGGTTCGTGGGTAAGGACGTTAGCGCTATCGCCGTCCTGGGTGCCGATAGGCTTCTTGCCGCCTACGAAGACAGGGACGCGAGGTTTATGCGAACGATTTCCCTTTGCTTTTTTCACCGGCGTCATATTCGTTCGCGTGTCTTGGCCGTTAAGTGCCGCATGGGGACCTCGTCGTATAAAACCATTCTTCTGCTCGTGCATTCGGAGCACTCGAAACAAACTTCTCGGCAGATTGCACGGAGGTTTCCTTCTATATAATACTTAGAACGTGCCTCCTGGTGTAATTCGTAGTAATTTCCATGGTGGTCCAACGCCGATTTATGTAAATTTCGCAACACGGGAGTAACGTTAAGTCCGTGTAGAACGATTTTCCCGTCTCGGCATACTGTACGATCGAGAATGGAAATTTTCTTTATCTTTAAGCGGAAAACTTTCCGTTGGTTACGGGAAAGCAGGCGGACAATATCATACTTCCCTTTGGAATCAGCTTGAAAGTATTGGAAAATTTTGGTATATGTTTCAAAATCCATGGTAGCTATGATGAATTGAATAATATGTAATACGCAACTTGATGTAATGATTAATTTAGTACGCAACTTGATGATCGACCGGTAAATATATTGTGAATTCCCCCAGTGTTTACAAGCACTATTGTCTCTTTCGATTCTTCCTCTACAGTGTATAGCAAGTATGTTTTGGCAGGTACAGGATCTTGCGCATGCACATCGCGAATTTATTTATTTTTATCTTTAAATTGCATTTTGTTGCAAATGGATTCGCAATCTCGGCTCTTTTCCACTTTTCCCCCACGTTTGAATTTCAGTTTTTAAAAACTACTGTTACGTCATAATCTAATGAAATTGTGAACAATTAAACAATTGTGAACACATTTGCTTTTCATAGCTTACATCGTAACATTACGCATTCAGCTATAATAACGCGTAAGACCCTTTGAAAATGGAAAATTTGGAATATGGGACGGTGGAGGAGAGTGGAAGAGCCCCAATCTCAAAATTGGATGAAAGAATGATTTTTTCTTGTTCATCTTAAATGTGCTTTTCCAAGGTTTGACTGGGCCATTCGGTATAGGTAATTGGAATACTGCTGTACAAATAAACAAGGCGCGACGCTGCTCATTTTATTGTTACAACCAAATGGAAAAGTTTGGCCGTTTCTCGGGATTTTTGAGCCAATCCCGTCGTTCGATACCTCGATACCATCACGAAGTCCATCGACGAGTTTTTTTTCCACGAATACAGTTCAGTTAGTCAAATAACACAAGAAAATCAGCCAATCAGGGAAGTTGTTTTAAACACTAAATTAAACAGTGGGTTTTAAACTTTGTATTAAACTTGTTTTGAATATATTAACTATTGTGAACACATTTGTTTTTCATAGCAACCTGCTTTGTTTCACATTGAAGCCTGCTGGAAAACTTTTCAAAAATTAGTCAACCCACGCCTTAGTTCCTTCCCACTCTTTGAAAGTAGTCGGAACAGAAAACTATATTAACTAAGTACGAAGTGGGACAAATATAGAGAAACGGGGGGTTGTAAGGTTGTTTGAATCATCGATTGAACTCGTGGTTTTATCTTCTGCTCAATCTTTTGTTTACCGAATGTTTGTTTTAATTGCTACAGCACTTCAAATGTTAACTCAGTTGTTTTTGTGAGCATTATCTAAGTGTAATAATGTAAATGCCTAAAGATTAATAGTGCCATATTGATAATTCAAAGTAATAAAATTTTTAAACATTCAGTTTTTCTGCATTAAAAAAGCCAGCGGTAACGTGTGCTTCGGAAGAGCTGAAAATTGTGGAATAATGTTCAATTACAGTATTTCTCAGCGCGCATTCTCTAATGCTCTTTCAAAGTGTTTCACATTGTGTCTGTAGACTTATACAATAGCATTGTTGAATATGCATTTAGTTAGAGCAACAATTTTGAGTTATCTCTATCAAAAATGAAATGAGTATAACTTGTTTGAAGTTGATTTAGGCAAAGCATTGTGCAGTATAATCTATTTCACTGCCTATCGATTCTTGTGAATTGCGTTTCTGAACTTTCAGTTTTTTGTTATCTTCAGAAATAGATTGTTACTATCGAAGAATTTAGCTTGATTTGAATTCATGGACCCGGGTGCAACTGGAGGCGGGGCTCATGCCCCTCCTCCGATGGGTCACCAACCCCCACCCCCACATCATCAGCCTCAGATGGGTGGGGCACAATCTGACGGCATCATAAGTGACCTTCGTCTGAGTGTGATTGACGTGCTACAGGACTATGGATGGTTCATTGTTTTGGGATGTGCAATCACTTATATTGTCTACAAGTAAGAGATTGTTTTTTTCATCTTCACAATGTAGAAAAAAGTCTTTATATTAAACAAGGTGTCTTCCATTATGGCCTGCAATGTGATATATTTTAATTTGTTTAGGACAGCTCCATGTACTTAGTTTTCCGAAAGTTACAAACTATTTTCTTTTTTTTTGTTTCAGCAAAATCACCGCCAACCTCAACACGCCTTCTCTGTCCAGAGGATCCAGTGGTGGAGGAAGTAACAGGTCCACTACTCCAGAAGACGCCGACAAGATATTGGAGAGACAAGAGAGAATTGCGGCTGCCAGAGCCAAAATGCAGGTCACTAACTTCTCATGATATTGTTTCTGATGATAAGAGAATCATGATAAGCAGTTCTAAGTACTAATGAGCAATCATAACAAAACAAGCCGATTGCTTTGCCAATAGCACAGAGTTTTCTTACCAATGTGATCAAACGCTTAAAATAATTTTTTGAATGTTTTTTTTCTGCAATTTTTTTTTGAAATGTTTTTAGCATCAAACTTACGGCTGAAGGACTTGCCCTAGGAGTGTTTTTGAGGCAGCTAGTTTTGCAAGGAAAACTCACCCTAAGTCATAGATCCTTCCAGCGCCTGGTAGTGTTCAGATTAATAAGTCGTGCCAAATATTTTCAGTAGAATCCTCGGGAACCCTAAAGGGACCACAAAGGTCTTGATTAGTTTGTACATCTTGGCTGAAATATCTACATTTCAATTGGACTCGTTTTCGAAATGTGGATTTAGGGGATTGATTCTCTTAGTCCACAAAGTACCACAAAGTGGTCCATTAGGCAATGATTCGGGGCGAGCGAGATTCACTGCTATCCACAATTCCGAAAGCCTACGTTGGTGGCAAGTATCCTTTATTGGTTACATGTCAGTATTTAGACAACCGCGTATTCAGACTGGTCAGTATTTAGACAAATACTGTTTCAACCAATCAGAATCGAGACAAAGAAGAAATTAATAAATAATTATTATTTATTTTGGATTATTTATGTCTTTTCTCGATTCTGATTGGTTCATACAGTATTTGTCTAAATACTGACCAGTATGAATACGCGGCTGTCTAAATACTGGCTGCACTCCTCCTTTATTGTACTATGTTGTTTGAACCTTTGAGTTAAATGCTTTTACGACTGAAATCTCTCTCACCCGCGATTGCAAGAAAATCCAGTTTTTATTAATTTCAATAAAGCGATAACAGATACAAAGGGTTACAATGAGTAGAAATTAACAACTCAATCAAAAAAGAAAAAGAGACCGACCGCGATCAATTTACTAATTACCTTCTGCAATTCAACCGCTCGTTAACACTCGCTCGAGCATCTGAATCATCTAATTACACCATCCCCTTAACTAACTCAGTTCGATTTGCTAAAGTTAATAGCGCCTGATTATTATTTCTAATCCCGCGATAACTGATGAGAACTAATTTTACTCTAGCTTAGAACTAATTGTTCTGCTTAAGGGTTTGCTGTTTGTTATCTTTTATTATGTTTTTGAGAGTCGTTGATCATAATAGTTCTGACTCTTCTATAAGTCCTGATGATTTTTTTTCAGGAAAAGTCCTAAAATGCTCTAATAACAAAAGAAGTGCATTCATACTGATGAATGCACACATGAATGTTCTAATTTGTATACCTGTAGGCATTGATGTGTGCATTTATCGGTATGATTTCACTTCTTTTTATTATTTCTAATCTCGCGATAACTGATGAGAACTAATTTTACTCTAGCTTAGAACTAATTGTTCTGCTTAAGGGTTTGCTGTTTGTTATCTTTTATTATGTTTTTGAGAGTCGTTGATCATAATAGTTCTGACTCTTCTATAAGTCCTGATGATTTTTTTCAGGAAAAGTCCTAAAAAGCTCTAATAACAAAAGAAGTGCATTCATACTGATGAATGCACACATGAATGTTCTAATTTGTATACCTGTAGGCATTGATGTGTGCATTTATCGGTATGATTTCACTTCTTTTTATTATTTCAAGCTCTATTTGGCTGAATTGGCAAGAAAAACGTGATTGCCTTCCAGTTTCAAAAGTGGAGTTCAATTTTTAGATTTCCGAGCGAAATAAAAAAAAACTTATCTTATGAATCTGTTTTCCTCAAATTGGGTTAGTTTTACCTCTTCCAATTTGTCTCTCCCAAAATTGGTCTTGAAATTCAAGTATAAGGCCATATTTTCTTCTCGAAAAACAAGTCAATTTTTTGTTTCTTTGTGTTCAGCGGCCGTTTTTCAAATACTTCTTGGCTATCTTTCTAATTGAGTTTTAGGTTTAGTTATGTCCGTCCTTGGTATTCGTCCCTTCAAGTCCTGGCTTTTACTTTGGCAATCTTGCAGACGTTCTTAACTATATGATTCCCGTGGCGACACTAGTCCTTAATGCCAAGTTTAAGTTAAAGCCAAGTATCTTTAACTGAATGGTACACATGTCAAATCCATTTTCACCACAAAACCAAGTTATTAAAAATGACTTAATTGCCAAAGAATTCATTTAATTATCCCAATAAGGCTCCGGGTCTAGGGGGATGTCCTTTTCAAAAGTAGCTAATTCGTTTCAAGTCTCTAAAATTCCCATCTATACTCTTTTTAATCACAGTCTTCTTGCAATTAAAGCAGTCATGTGAACGTAGTTAATCTATAAGGGATCGAAAAGCCATCTCCGGGGAGGTAAATAAATAAAATATATCCCGGCCATTCATACTATTTAGGAGGTTCAATTCTCGTGCCGTACTTACTTTACCGCCAGTTTCCTCTGAGACTTTTTTTGGTCCAATTGAGTTGTTAAAAATAGTGTAATTGTCATAGCTAAGATTGTCCCATTGTTTGCTCAATTTCACTTCTTATTCAATCATTTACTTCAATGTAGCAACTCGAAACTTTCTACTTATCTTCTGATTCATACCCCAAAAGTTTCTCACTATTTGTAAGTAAGGTGATCGCCTCCTATTTCCGAGGGTTAGGGCTGGGGGACAGGCTTTTTTTCTGGTGTTAATCCTGGGGTTATCCCAAAGTTCATTTAAAAGTCATCCCGGCTCACCAGAGGTCAATCTTCCATTTTAGAGCGAGAGTCTCATGGGGGTCCTCTCTACCGAGTTTCTTCCAAACCCTAATTGTCGTCCCAATTTATACCCTTTGTAAATTCCTTTTTTAATTTTACCGGGAATAGCTATTAACACCAGAAAGAGTTGCCGGAGGGATTTTTTCGCATGGTGTCTTTTTTCGAGGGGAGTATCGAGTGTCTATTGCCACCATAAAACCGATATGCCTTTGCTCTCTATTTTGCGCAAACTACCTGTTTCTGGTCTAGGGGTTGGATTTCCCAAATGCTAACACATTCCAGTCCAACCGCTGGATTTGTTTAGATTTAGCACATGATGCATCTTTCTACTACCTATCTATTCTGCGTTCTTTGGGGCCGAGAAGTGATTTTTGGAAGTCGGAGTGGGGAGTATTTACTTTGGGCATAACACCTGTACTTGGGGTCCAGGGGCTATAAACTTAAGCCCCCCTCATTTAGGTCTTACCATACTAATTTGTGGTTCTATTATCACTGCTCAGTACTGAGTTCAAATAGCCAAAATATTACGGAACCGTGATCATTTGCGCCAGGGGGTCCAGGTTTTTGCATGCCCGGGTCAAATCATCTCTTGTTTACGGTTAGGAGGTTCATAATGTTAACGTTCTTAATTCCTGTTTGGAAATAGGTAAAGAATAGACCAATCTTACTCCACTTGGGTTTTCTGCCATAGGCGTGGCTTTTGCTCTCGATCTCGATCTATTTTGGGTTCAAACTTTAGTTTGCTTAACTACTTAGCTTATTTATAAGTCAATTTCCAGCTACGTGCTCACAATTAGCCTAAAAATACTGCTGGCCATTATCAAGGTAATACTCTTCCAGTCGAATTCTTAATTTTCCGAAAGTCTACAAGAATCACCGATCCCACTCCAAGCACCTGTCAGGAACGACACGTTCCTTTCTGATAACTAGAAAAAAGACACAATTATCTATCTGCAACTAGAACAGTAAATGCCACTAGAACTTGAATACTGCAACTAACTCAATTTACTGTTCCAACCGATATAAAATGCACCAACTGTGTACCTTTTTTTAGCTGCTTACATCATTGTTATATACCAAGTATTTTCTTCTAACTGGAGAAGACAATTCGAAGTTCACTTTCTAAGAATTGGTCAGTTATGAAATTTAGCGGAAAAGGACCGTCGACTATGATCAAGATTGACCAGGACCCAAAAGACAAAAGTTATCATAGCACCCTTTTTTTGGGTTTTTGACAGCTTCTTTTTTTGACCCGAGTTCATTTACTAAGGTCAGAAATGTTGAAGATCCACGTCGTCGTTAGACATACATAGTCTTAGGTTGGTCATTGTCCAGGTTTCAATTAGTTAATCGCTCTAATGATTAGTATGATAATATCATGATAACATTATGATCGAAGACCTTCTTTATGATCGCAGACTAAACAGACTTTTTAATGGCCTTTGTCCGCTGTAAGAAAAATTGGAACTGGTTCGATCATTTGGTTTGTTTAATCTTAGTTTAATCTAAGTTTAAATGGCATTTTTTTTTCAAGAATACTAGTTGAGGCTTAGTTTTTGTTCAAAAACATTGGATTGATTCGTGTTTTGAAGAGTCAATGAACGTAGTGAAAACTCTTATGAAGGTCGTGATAATTTTTTTTTGCTTAGGCTCGAATTTGATTTTCTGTTTGATTTTTATTTATTTTTAAAGTTGAGATTATAAAAAATTGCAGAATATAAAAATTGCTAATTAATCTAGTGTTGTCATTTGGGTAGTTTCATAATGCTTGTGATTAGCAAATGTTATCAAATCGGAATGTAGAATTTTTTTTCGGATTAACAACTAATTTAACAAAATCAATTGAATCACTATGCAGCTGACATGCTCATTTTCATGAAGTTTCAAATTTAACTAATGGGGGGGGGGGTACAAGTTACTACAGGGTAGTTTCAGGTGGGACTTAAAAATTTGAAATGTTTTTTTTTATAAAAGCTGGTTTATCGGCTCAATTGATGTCTGCTCAAAGATGGTCGGCCTTGTTTGCTAATTTGTATTTCAAATGTCTTGCTTGGCATTTTTTGTGTATTTCAAATGTTCTTGCTTGGCATATCTCAAGTTTGAGATTTTCATTTCAATGGATAGACCAAATTTGAAAATTCCCCTCCATAAGTGGCTACGCCCAAACGAATGGATGGCGCTCGGTATAGTGAAATGGACGGTCCTCGGCTGGCCCTCGGAGTAGTGAAAGTTTTGATTTTTTTTCACCGTTTTTTGGCTTTTCTCGAAAATTAACCTCCAAAAACTGAGATTGCGGATTCAATTGAGATAAAAGGTAAAGGGAAGTTCCCCTGCATTAGCGTCTACTCGCATTTCTTTTAACACAAAAATTATTCTTCTCGGAAAAGTCGATTTTTTTGTTCTTCAATCAAAAAGCTATGATTCTCGGAAATACCTTCGAACTGATTTTGATCAGTTTTTGGACTTTTCTCGATAACTATCTTGTCAAATTTGATTTAGGTTTGATTGACACAACAGGTTGCTGGAAGCTTACCTTCAAGTTTCTTTTTGAAAAAATTTATGGCCTTAAAACAAGGGAAAGTTTTGAAACTTTGACCGTTTCTTGGAAGTTTTTTTACTCTACTCGAAAATTACCGTGCCAATTCTCGTGTTAATTTTTCAATGGAGAAACCCGATTTGGGGTGTTTTTTTTATTTTAGCAGCCACGACCTGCTTTTAGAAGAAGAAAATTACGGATATCGGAAAGTCTAGTTTTTGAACTTACGGATAGTTTTTGAAGTTAATTTTTCTCAAAAACTATCCTATCGAATCGGAGATAAAACTTTCAATCTTAAGAAGCGGTTGCGCAAATTTTTCCGGCAGAAGTGGATGCTCCATAATTTTCTTGTAAGAGAAAGCTTATGTTTGTGAGAAAATCTCTAAATTTTTCACTCTTCTCACTTATTTTATCAGAGAAACAACAAAGGTTTTGGGCAAAGTCCAATTTTTGAAATTACGCATTTCGTCCCGCATCAGAATAAAAAAGTCAAAAAATATCAAACCCGTACCTCCAGCTTTAGCTGGGCCCTAGGTGTTCTTCAGCGAGACATACGAAAATTTTGGTTCACCTAAGTTTTTTTCAATATTCATTTTTTTTCTACTTGAATTTTATGGTTGTATTGTATCGCATGTGGTGCGAAACTCTTCTTCATTTCTCTGTCAAAATATTGTCAACGATTAATAGTTCCAGAAAATCAAACAGCTTTAAGTCCATCTGTTTTTTTTTTATTTGCGTTCATTATTTCTTTTCCAACTCTGTTGGCTTTGTTTCGGAAAGTTTGGATATTCAATTTTATATCCGTTGTTTTGAATCAGACCGCGTTATATTTTAGGCTGAACTTGACAAAAAAGTTGAATTAGAAAAGGAGAAGCTCCGCGAAAAAGGAGAACAAGATCGAGAGAACAAAATCCAACAGTGGGAGAACCTGCAATCAGGAAAAGGATACTACTCCAAAATGAAATCACCTGCAACCGACGCTGATTCGACGAATGACGAGAAGTTGGAGGCGGAACTGAGGAGCAAAGTGGCCGCGAAGACTTTGGCGAACCCGAAAAGGCAGAGATGAACTTAATAACTATGAAGAATTTTTTGACCAGTGGCAAATAAGATGAATTCAATTTTGGAGATTTTTGTCACTTTAACACCGACGCTAGAATAGTTTGAGTTAGATCATGTTATTGTCAGCGAAATTTTTTATAAATATATTTTGGATTACAGAAATTTGTTTATTTAAAATTTTATCAGAATCGATAGTTCTTTTTGAAATTGCGCTCCATAGTTTTTTTGGAAATAAATTGCAAATCATTGGAAGTAGATTATACTGTCAGCGGTTAGAAGATCATCTCTGCTGAGAAGGGACTACAACCCTCTAATGGGTGGCTCTTCAGCTGGCTCGAGTGGCGATAGTTGCAGCTGGAGACCCGGAATGCGACGCATGGGTGGGGGAGGCGGGTGAGGTTAAAGAATGAACGACCTCCCACGCAATTTTGAGTCACTTAACAGCGCAGAAAATGGCAAACGATATGTTGGGCAATTCTCAAGGATTGCATTGGAGAACAGTTAAAAAAACTTTTTGAATGCAATTCTTATTGCCGAACATTCGAAGGAGTTCGTGCTGCAATGATGTGGTGGCTCGAAGAGGTCGTTCAAAGTTTTCATCCCGTTGACATTTCCTTATTGGGCAGTTATTGGAGCGAAGGCGAATGACGTCATGATTTGCAAACTACGACATGTAGCCAATAGTGACTGACAAAAACTTCCTCTAAATGTGCCAAAATTATGAATATTAGTTAGTTAATGACTTGGTTTCATGTGATTTGCAATTATATACTCATTAAGTGAGGAATGTATGTAAAACTAAATATTTTTTGATAAAATTGAAAAGATAAAAATATATACTTTATATTGAAATTGTGACTAATAAGAAACATGGAACTAAGTGTCAACCAATTTGTTCATCCTTCAAAACGGATAGCGAACTAAACTACAAATTATATTGTTTAGATCTAGGTTTGTAAAATTATTATATTGTATGGTGTCTGCTGCTTAAACGTTGTCGTTTTTATTTTGATCTTTGGTTTTGTAAACTCATGGTGAAAATTTAAAAAATAATAAAATTTCAGCTGTTTTTTACATAATACTCCTATCAAAATTTCAATGTTAGCTGTGAGGGTAGTTTCTGAAAAGTGAAGTATAATTCAAACCTTCCAGGAGGATTGCTTTCAATGGGATTTTTTGTTTGTTTTTATGCCGGTTTATCACTTGGGTTCCATTGTTTTTTACTTCCATTAGCTAAATACTAAAAAGCTACTCTTGAAAATATTTTCTAAATTTCTACTGAAAATCAAATTGCTTGCAGATAAGCAATTTACTTTCAGAAAAATCAGATCATGCCCTAATACAAAAGTGTACAATATGTTTCTGTGGGGCAGGGTGAAAAAAAGTTTTTGTTGAAAAAATCAATAAACAGCGTTTTTAATAGAAAACATGTTTTATTGTTTTTTTTCTTCAGTTCGCGTGAAACAAATGCAAGTTTTCCTCATTTCTAGCCTCCATTTGGTTTCTTAACTTTCCATAAGTAACTACCATTATAGTAAGACTTTCAAGTTGAGTGTGTTCTACGAAAGCAATCTCATTTCATTATCAACTCAAGTTATTCCTGCTAAATTAATTCATCATGACTTGTCAATCTTATGTCAGCGTTGGAGTGCTAGACTTTCGCATTGCTTACACGATTGGTGAAATTTTGAGGTAGACTTTTTTTGTTATTCACGTCGTACCAAATTGTAACTAAGTATCATGGATGCAACTAAGCCTCATCACTAACTAGTATGATTTCGTTTTTTTAATGAGATTAAGCTAACTGATGGGGGAGTACCAATCTTGTGGACTGAACCTTCTTCCAGACGAGTTTATCCATGGGATATGTGAAGAGGGCAGTTATTCATCTCTTAAAAACAATGAAAAACGTGCGTATTTTTATTTAACTTTGTTTTATTCCGGATTACCCACCTCAGAAAAAAAAAATATCCCGAAATCTGAGGTAGATGATAGTGTGGCTCTTGGTTTGGAACATGTTTTTTAGTTTAAGAAAAAATTTGGTCTACAAAACATTTAATTTATCTATATCTAATTTATGTGCAACCTGTTGTTCATTATGGTGTTTTGGCATATCTATCTACAAACAAAACATAATTTGCCGTTAATGGCACGTGTTATTTTAATGAACTACTTAGTTTTGTCCCATCTTGATTGTAGTGGAGTATTTTTAAGTAGATTACAACAAAAAGTTATCGATCGTTTGAATCGTCAATTAAACTAGGGAGTAAATTTTTGCTTCGTAGGAAAAAAGTTAGAAAAATGTGATGTACTTTTGAAAAACAAAATACTTCCTGTAGAATATTTATAACAAAATGTTGATTGCCGAAAAACTTTATTATGTTTACTGAAAACACAAATCCTTTCACTGAAGAAATTATGCAAAAACATAAAATGATTAAACAAAAGAACGGAAAATTAAGAATTGGACAGGTTTATGGAAATTAATCATCCAATTTTTTGTTGCTAGAATATATACCAAGAAACGAATTGGCTTACTTGAAATCACTAAAAATTGATAACCTTTATCTTAATTGAAGCAACCTGATAGCTAATAATTAAACTAGGTTTGGAGGGTTTAAAAAATATGGCATTAAGAGGACCCGGATTTTGTCGCTAGATCTCAATTGGTTTTAAACAGGATTCAAGAGAGTCAACTGATAACTAGATTAGTGTATTGGTTAACTTATAATTGAAACGCAAGAGTAACAAAAATGTGCGTAAAAGATTTTTGGCTAAAAATGTCATGGCTTAAGTGTATTTGAAATCACACTGAAGATTTGTTAATGGTTGAATTTGTTTGCACTGAAAGACAAATAAGAAAATTAGTTCTCATTTCAAACCTCTTTTTTTTTCTTTTAATTGGTCTCATTGGGGCAGTACAACAATACCGAAGCACAACAGTGCCGGAAAAGCAACTGTTTAACAGTGCCAAAAATTATTTTGAATACCGTTTGACTCATCCCAAACCTCTGACAAGTAAATAGTTCAAATGGCCGAAAGTTTAAAAGTCAAAAATGGCCATTTTAATTGATGCCGATTGTTAAAAAAATTCCCAAGCGCAGCGTCATAAAATTTTCTGAAAAAGCAATTAGCAGAATGGGTCCAAAAGCAGAAAAACAAAAGTTTTAAGTTGTTTTGATTTATACGGGCTATGTGATACCAAACAAATAGAATTGTCAACAATACCAAGAAAAAGAACAAATTATACATAAATTGAATAAATTCGTCAATTTTTCTTTGTGAATATCGACAAGTTTACTCAAATTGTGCATAATATTTTCGTTTCTTTTGTAATATTGACAATTCTTATACTTATTTTACCAATAAATTTATAAAAATTGATTCTCTTCTTTTTTCCTGCCCTTGGACCCATTCTGTTTTAGACCAATTTGCTTATTTTTTGGCCACCCAAATTTTCTCGGTTTCGCTCTAAAAACCAAACAGTATTCAAACAAGGTGGGTATGCACAAGTACGAAAATGAGTACGTCGCCCGTTGGGGCGCTAAGGACGCGTCGTCGCTTCGCGGCGATAGCCATCTCCAACTTTTGTAAAAGAGTCCTCTCTATTGGCAAGTTCGCAACACGTTGATGCGACTGCGGTGGTTACTATTGTGCTGTTTAGCTTTCTGCTATCTAATTAGCAGATGAATAATTTAAATTTGTTGGCTTACAATTGACCAATCAGAAACCGACTTGAATAATTTTGGTCAAAAGGGACTTAATTTTTATTTTGGAACAAATGAATCTTGGTACGACTTGGACTTCACCTTCAAGCAAATTGCCAGCAATTCGCAAACAGAATTCAAAGTTCGGGACCCCTAACAGATACGACGGCGGCCTTCAATAGTGTCGAAGTACAACAGTGCCGAAAATGAAAATGTGCTAAACAGTGCTTAAAATGTCCTCAATTTTTGGCACTGTTGAACACATTTTCACTTTTGGCAATGTTGTACTTCGCCACTGTTGAACGCCCCTGTCTTATTTGTTTTGCGGTTCAAATGATCACACTGTTAATTAAGCTTCTGCTTTGATTGAAACCGCTGAGATTGCTTTTCGCTGATAATATTTTCAACCAATCAGATTCGACCATCAAAGACCTTTTTTAGTTGCTAAGCATGGTAGATATTGTTCAGCAATTTTAAACTTTCTGTTTTTGTCTAACTTTGGAAGAAGCAAACAGTATTTTTCTGACCGCGTCAATTTTTACTGCCGTAAAGTTTGCTGATTAAATACATTCTATCGCATCAGAGATAGTAAATGAAGACTTAACTATTAATTACATTTTTTAAGTCTCTCATATTAATTAAATAGCTGCCGAAAAGACAAAAAGTGAATAAACTGAGTGCAGGTATCAATAATGTTTTCTATGATTTACTGGTCTGATTCTGACAAAGACAAGTATAATATATAGTTTTCAAATTATCTGGTCGGTAGCTCAAATATAATCAATATTTCGGCCAAATTTTCAACCAAAAATGACTTTAATTGAGTGCTAACTGTGTTAAAAATTATCACATTGTTTTGAAAGCGTTTTGATTCAATATTCCAATTCGACCAACCGATTCTAAAAAATCCTTGAAGTCATACGGCAAAATTGCATAATCCAAATTGTACATCACTTTACCCAGAAACCACAGCTGAGAATCAATGATTTTATCAAAGTACTTTTTGACAATGGATGAAGTTTTGCTTGGTTTTATAACAGGAAGTGTCGCATTGCGAAATAGGAAACTGTATTTTGGGTACACTTGTTTGAGGTGTTCCTCAAGATGCTCAAACATGACCACGTCTCTCCAAACGGCACTGCATGGCTTACAGTTCTCAGAAACTTGAGACTCCCAATGCCAAACAGTCCATCGAGAAGTTTTCACCTAAAATGATTTCCAGTTCCATTAGGAAAATGAATAAGAAACACGTGCAATTAAAAAAATAGAAACATGAAATAGAAATATAAATACGAAAAAC